GTGTGGTGGGTCGCGCGCGCGCGGGGGGGGGGGGGGGGGGGGGGTGGGCACTGCCGCACGCTGGGAAGTGAGATCTCCAAGCACCATTGCATGCTGGGAGTTGCAGGGAGCCCGAAGGCGAGAGCAGGCCCAAAGATGGAGAATTCAAAGGCCCGTCGCTGGCTGAGGGTGAGGCCTCCCAGTACTGTTTCAGATTTGGACCTGAGCCCAGGTCCTGCGACCCCAAGTGCAAATCTTGACACAGCGTCGGCTCTCACAGAGCGGGGGGCTCGCCCGGCACAGCTGCACGGCAGGGAACGGCCCCCCAAGCTCTGCTGCGTGCTGAGAACTGGAGACGCAGGCGTCTCAGAAACAGGAGGCTCAGCCCTGTTGTGGACGGGAGGCCGGAGGCCTTCCACTCCTTTTGATTTGGACCTGGAGTCCCCGAACGCTGCTGCATCCTGGGAGGTGGAGGGGGTGTCTCTAGCCACCGCTGCTTGCTGGGAGGCTGGTGAGCCTGGGGTGTAGACGGCTCAAAGGTGGGAGAGGGCTAGCCCTGCTGGCTCTGATGGCAGGGCCCCACCCTTCTCACTTAGGTCTGCGGCCTGGGGTCTGCCAGGACTATTGCATTTTTGGAACTGAAGACCCAAATAAAATGCTTAATGTAGTCTTACTAATAACAAAACTCAAGTTTATTGTACACCCAGTACAAATTCTTACAGTAGTTCAACCAGGTGAGGGTTACTACCTTCCAGTTTACAGATGAAAAATTGTGGCTCGGGGAACCAGCAGTTAGCGTAATGGCTATGTCGCTGGACTCCCACGTAGTCGACCGCAGTTCGTGTCCCGGACCGGGTGGCTTAAAACTCACGCTGGGCACGTGTGTGTGTGTGTGTGTGTGTGTGCCCAAGATCCCGAGAGGAGAATGGAGGAGAAGGGATTGCGGCGTGACCATCCCCCCTGGGGGGTGATTTCTCGCTTTCTGTCTCTATGTCTCTCTCTGTCTGTCTGGCGAGCGCACGCGCCCTACAATGAAAATCTCTCCAAAAAAAAAAAAAAATTGAGGCTCTGAGAAATCAGATGAATTTCTTTTAAAAAAAAATGCTGATTTAGGACCAGCAGTTGGCGTAATGGCTATGTTGCTGGACTCCCATGTAATCCACCGCGGTTTGAGTCCTGGACCTGGTGGCTTAAACTCACGCCGGGCGCGTGTGCGTGCGTGCCCAAGACCCCGAAAGGAGAATGGAGGAGAAGGGATTGCGGTGTGGCCATTCCACCTGGATTTTCAACCTTCAGATAGATTTTTAAAGGATTATTATTTAATTTTATGTATTTATTATTATTATTATTTTAATTTGCTATAGAGTACATGCACTCACGAGAGAGAGAGAGAGAGAGAGAAAAAAAAGCAAGTCGACTACGTAGGAGTCCAGTGCCCTAACCACCACGCCGCCTGCTGGCCGCCTTCAGACAGGTCTTAAAGGCAAAACCCGGGGCCAGCAGGCGGCGTAGTGATTCAGGCTCTGGACTCTCACATGGTGAACCACGGTGCAAGTCCCAGACCTGGCGGCTTGAAATGCAAGCCAAGCGCGTGTGTACGCGTGCCCAAGATCCCAAGAGGGGAATGGAGAAGGGATGGCTGCGCGCCATGCCCCGGGGTGATTTCTGTCTCTCTGTCTCTCTGTCTCTCCGGCAAGCATACATGCCCTATAGCAAAGTCTCTAAAAAAGGCAAACCTGACAAGTGGAAGGCCAGCAGGGACAGGGAATTGCCGCAGGTGGCTTGGGACAGCAGTCTTGGCGCTCAGGGCCAATACGAGGTGGCGTCAGCGCCGGGCTGTCTGGCAGCTTCCCAGGTCAGCTCCTCCGTGGGGCCGCGCCTTCTCGGAGCTGGGTGGAGCTCCCAAGTGCTTGCTCTCTGGCGGCGGTTCCCGCGTGTTCCCATCATGCCAGCTCGGGAAGCACCACCCGTCGCCTCCCTGACTTTAGCACACGTGGACACGGGTGAGCCGCTTTGGCTTTGAGGAATTTCCACAGAACGGAAAGCAGGCATGCTGCTGGTGGAAGGGCGGTAACCGGGAGGGCTTCAGGGAGGTGGGGGCAGGACCTGGCCAAAGTCACTGGGAAGTTTATCAGCTCCAGGCTGTTCTGTGACAGCCAGAGGTGTGGTCGGCCCTCGGGGTCTCCTCTCTGCTCTCGCAAGTTCACCAGCCTCCTCCTCCCAGATACTTTGTCGTCCTAGAGGGGATGGGACAATGTCAGCCGGCCTCCCAAGTTGAGTGTTTCTGATTCTTTTATTCCTTTTAAAAATTTGCTATAGGGCGTGTGCGCTGGTTGGAGAGAGAGAAAGCACGTCCTGGGGGTGGCCACACCACAGCCCCTCCCCGCCTTCTCCTCTGGAGGTTTCGGGCACGCATGCACATGCGCCCGCCAGCTGTTTCCCGCTGAGTCCGGGACTTGAACTACAGTCAGCCACGGGGATCCAGCCCCGAACCATGACACCACCAACTGACCTGCTTTCTTCTTTTTTAAATAGCCAGAGGATGTATACTTGATGGATAAAAGAGAGGGGAGAGGGCGCCCCCAGTGGGAAGTGGTCACATGGCAATACTCTCCTCCACTCTCCGTCTTGTCAGGATCTCGGGTGCACACATGCACCAACGAGGTGCTTCAAGTCGCCTGGGCCGGGATTCGAACCCTCAGGGCTATGTGGGATCTGGCTCCCATAACCACTAGGCTACAGGCTGGTGCTCCAGACAAGCTTCTTGGTGGGCGGGGTGGGCGGGGAAGGGGCTCCGTGTCCCGGGCTGGGCCAGGCCTGAGGGCCTCTCTCCGCAGGCCTGCTGCTCCTGGCGAGCCTGGAGGTGTTCCGGCATTCCGTGTACGCCCTGCTGCAGAGCTCCAGCCCCGAGCCGCCCCCCGCCCCCGCCCTCACCTACGAGTACTCCTGGTCCCTGGGCTGCGGCATGGCGGCCGGCCTGGTCCTGCTGCTGGCGGGGGGCTGCTTTCTGCTGCTCACGCTGCCCTCCCGGCCCTGGGGCTTGCTCTGTCCCAAGCAGGCGCAACGGGCCACCTAGAGCCGCTGTGGGCATCTTCCCTGCAACTGCCAGCCCTCTCCTGCCCTCATCCCTTCAATCTCACCTGGAGAAACTGCCTCCTGCTGGGCCACCACCCGCATTGCCCTGGCTCCTGTCCCGTTTTCCTCTGTACAGTTTTTCCTGGTGGCTGAATCAGGTTGCTTGGCCCTGTGTTGGGCAGACGAGGGTCCCCAGGGAAGGTTGGTGGGGACCTGATGGGGAACCGGTGGGGGGTGGGGGGAGGTCAGAGGTTCCGAGGCTGGGGTCCTTCAGTTTTCAGGTCTGGATCGACTCACTCTCAGGAGACTTAGGGCCAGCGTGCATCTCAGGTGGGGAGGGGGACACAGGAGCGAGGAGGGGAGATCTCGGGGCCCCACCTCCCTGTGATCCAATTTGGGATTAAAGGTTTGGAATTTAGCAGCTTTGCTGTGGAGTCCGTCCGCGTCTGCGATGTGACCATACTGTCTGGAGTGGAGGACAGCGACCCCATGTGGCCTCCACACACCTGGTCCGT